CCATAGCCAATTATCGAGTTTTCACCTGGCGAGTGTTGAAGTAGATCTAAATCACTGAGTGCCTCTAATTAAAATTTTGTAAACGAGGAAAAAAATAGTCACCTCTTCCGCTGGGCTCGTAAGTTCGTACTCCCGCTGACTAAAATATCATATTACTATCTGAGGACCATTAAAATCATTGGACTTCCTACTTTTGCAGCCGCAAGTCGCGATCGTATCAGTGGTGCGATGATCGGACCTATGTTGTCAAGTATTCCAGCAATTGGAGTTATGACATTGGCTAGCTTCGGATCGGCTTGAGCATTGGCTGAGGCCTAGAAGGTTACGATATAAATTGCATCGAAGAAAACCAAAGCAAAACTTGCTAACTTATATTTGTGGTGTTAGTAAACTTACATGTAAATTATAGACCGTGGTCCCACTTTTTGGCACTGCAGTTGTTGTCGTAGTGGTTTCAAGTTCTTCTGCTGCTGAAAGGATATACTCCAAATATGCTCTTACAAAATTTATATGATAAAGTTCCATTCCCCAACAAACGTCTATAGGAATTAGTCAATGTGAAAATCATTGCTCACACACACACACCATTAGGATCCTCCTCCTCAGCTTCAGGAATTTGTTTGAATGCTACCATAGCAACTTCTTCAGATTTTCCCTCAGTCGTACTTGTCGCTTTAGTGCTGGAAGTGGTGAGCTCCTTGGTTGTGGTAGAATCTTCTTTCGATTCTGTGCTTTTCTCCGTTTCTTCCGTTGTGTCGATCATAGTAGTAGTGGTAATAGTAGTGGTAACAGTGGTAGCGTTAGTAGTAGGTTCTGTCACTTCTTCAGTCGTCGAGGGTACTGTAGTAGAGGTAGTGGCCTCTGTGACTTCTGTTGTAGGGGGTACTGTAGTAGATGTCGTTACCCGGCTTTCCGTCGTTTTATCCAATTCAGCGGTCAGTTTCTCAACTGAAAGAATCAAGAATTATTCTTGGAAAAAAACTGATGGAACAATAATGTGATTTTTTGAAACATAATGCACGGATAGTTATTTAGATGTAAGGGTCTCCGGACTCGCTTCTGTGTTATCTCTTCCCTAGAAGTACTGCTCAGAAGCTTAGAAATATTGAGCTTTTTTCAATTAAATGAAGGACTAACTCCTTTTAGGTTTGCTCTATGTACGTTGTATATAAATCTGTTTCTACCGCTCAAAAAAGTGAAACGAGGCTCAATAATAAGAGTAAAAAAGCGAAGAGAAATTTGAAAAACAGGCAGCAGCTACGAGTAGCCGCAAAAAGTTCAAATAGTTTTTCAATTTAATTAGCGTACAAATTGGAAGATTTTTGCTTATTTCAAAACTAACGTTGCTGTTTAATGGCTGATTTTTCATTTCGCTAAATTTCAGTCATCTGAGATTCTTTTCCAAACTAAACATCAAAAAGGGATTATGTCGCTGTAGGTTCCGTCTGCGCGGACAAATTTGCAACGACAGCGTGCAGTGTTGCATGATTTGTGGCAGATATCCGCATGAACTAAACATGGCGATACTATAATCTGCCCCAAAAAGGTAATATTCAGATTCATTGCTAACCTCTTCGTTGTAGGAAAGACATTATTTTTGCGCGCGTGTGTTCTCGAAGACGTCTGATTTCATCAGAACTTGGTCCACCATCAGCGTTCTCTGCTCTTTCATCTGCTTCGATCAGTGACAGCACCTTCAATGCAGATGTTTTAGAAGTGAGCTAGATAGTTGAAATCCAACTTTCAAATTTAAAAGGCTTACCTCACTGACTTCCGCGGCTTCGTCAGTGCTGAGAATGCTGGGTGGTGGCAGCACAGGCACTTGCGGAGTCACGACGCCAGTCGTGGTCTCAAGCGCTTCCGTTGTGGTTTCTTCATTTTCCTCATTAACCGCTGAACTTTCTTCAGTAGTTGTGCTGGTAAATTCCGTTGCGGTAGCAGGGGATGTGATTTCTGGATCTGCATCGGTCTCATCAGCTGACTTCTTTTCATCACTCAGTAAGGTGGCTGCGAAGGCTTTTGAATGCTCTACGAATTCTTCGGTTTTATCATCCCTTTCCTTCAGCGCATTTCGGAGCGCTGCTTCCGCTACAGCTTCTACAGAGTTTATGCTTCCATTTTCAATTGTCGTCTCATCATCTTCCTGTGAAGTTGCGAATTTTTTCGAAGTTGTTTCTACCACAAAATCACGTTCCTTGACGATCTTTTCCATGGATTTCTTCGCCTCCGCTATTTTATCCCAACTCTTTTCGTGTTCTTTGACAGTGTCGTTGAGAATCGATAATAGTTGTGATTCTAGATTTGTTTTTTCAGTAAGGGGATCATCTGATGAAGTGGGTATGGATGTTGTTGATTCCTCTTCTATGGCCTCCGCTGAAGCGGGGTTGAAGACCACTGTGAACTGCTGGCTATCTTTCACATGTGGTGTGGTTGTCATGGTAGAATATGTAAATGTCGTAGTTTCCTATAATAATCATAATCTGAGTAAAATTTGCTATCGAGTTTGCATCTATAAAATATATTCTAAAATCTAAAATA